ATCCTTTCACCCAGCCCGCAAAGAAATAGGCCGCGTGTCAACAGCTCTCTCTAGCCCCTCTATTCTAGTCTCCGAAAAAGAAAAAAAAAACTTCAAAATTTCTCAAACCTGTTTTCAGCGTTGCGCTGGAAGTACACCCCAGTTGATTACAGTGGAAGTATGGAGAGGCGAAGCCCCAAATATCTCGCTGGAAGGGATGGGGGAAGTCCTGGTTTTCTCCCGGGTGTGAGACTGGGTGGGCCTCCGGCCCTGGATGCTGCGCAGCGAGGGATGAGCGCCCCTGTGTTACAGGTGGAGGTGCACCCGCCGCTCGTGAAGCAGCTCCTGGCCCTGTGCTGCGGCGCCTTCTCCCGGCAGCAGCTCTGCAACCTCGAGTGCATCGTGCTGCACAAACTGCACTTCAGCCTGGGCGCGCCGACCATCAGCTTCTTCCTGGAGCATTTCACGCACGCACGCGTGGAGGCCGGGCAGGCAGAGGTGTCCGAAGCCCTGGAAGCGCAAGCCCTGGCGCGCGGGGTGGCGGAGCTGAGCCTGGCTGACTACGCTTTCACCAGCTACACCCCCTCCCTGCTGGCCGTCTGTTGCCTGGCGCTGGCAGACCGTATGCTGCAGCTCCCTCGCCCGATGGACTTGCGCCTGGGCGGGCACCCCGAGGCGGCGCTGCAGGACTGCCTGAGCAAGCTGCAGCTACTGGTGGCCATAAACAGAACGTCCCTGACTCACATGCTGCCCCTCCAGATCTGCGAGAAGTGCAGCCTGTCCCCGAGCTTGAAATGAAGTAGACCCTTGGTCTCCTTTGATCCCCTGGCCTGGCTGCTGGACCTCTCCCATTGCTTTGAAAGAGTGCAGTATTGGCCTACAGAGAAGGGTTCAGTCCTCCCACTTGGTCACCAGGTCATCCTGCAGGTTGTAAATAGTGTACGATTGTGGGGTTTCATTGTTTATTTATTTTGCTAACATCGCATGAGAGAAGAGACGAGTCTTTCCCCAATAAACAGGCTGTCTGTGGTGGTTTGTCTGAATACTACCAATGCGAGTGTCCACAAAGAGGGAAGGTGAAGGCAATCTGGGAATAGAGGTGATCAGTAACCATGGAGGGTTCCTCCCTCCCCCCAGGCATCTCTGTTTGGGAACACCAGGTTTGGAGAGGTTCCTGTAGACCGAGGTTCCAGTTACAAGGCAAGTCAGGGTCACTTGTTGGCCTGTAAATGGTGACCTTGTTAGGCTGAGGACTGCTCACTCCTAGAGGTTCAAAGGGCGAGGTGGGGTGTGAGGCTGAAAAGAACCCACAGCAGTCCATGTTGTCTAGCGGGGCCAGGGGGCACACTGCTGGTGCAGAAGATCCCAGGCTGAGAAGCTTTGGGGACTGCAGTCCCACTAGCTAGGGCAGCCAAGAGTTACCCTGACAACTGCCAGATGTGGGAAAATGAAGGCTGTGCAGGCAGTTATGGCCATTCCAAATTGAGTCCATTTATCCTGCAATCACATGTTGAACAGTTCTCTCTTGTCTTACACCTACTATGTGTGAGCCCATGGTAACAATGGTGCAATAGTAATCATGGCTATCATTGAGTGCTTACATGTACCAGGCACAGTGTTCAGCATTCATTATTTCATTCCTTCAGCAGTTCTATGAGGCAGAGTCTATTATCCCATTTTTCAGAGAAGGACACTGGGCCGCAGAGAGGTTAAACAATAGTGGAGCAGCCAGGATTTGAAGGCAGGTGATCTGAGTCCAGAGTTCCACCCTTTGCCACATGCTCAATTTCCTCCACTTACAGGTTTCTGGAAATGCTAAAAAAAAAAACAAAAACGCCTTTTCCCAAGGTAGGTGTGGGACAAGTGATCTGTTCAGTGCCCTCCATTTAATAGGGACTATGGAGAACATATTTGGAGAGCCAGTACAGTCCTTGCCTCTAGTCATGTCACAGGAGTCATTTTACAGATGGGAAAAGTGAGTCAAGAAATGCGACAGAGGCTTGCTGGAGTTCTGTGACTCCACAGCTGTCCCATCATCTTCATTCTCACTGTTGTGAATCTGCTGTAGACCCTGAATCTATAACCTCCAGCAAATTAACCTCTCTGAGCCCAATCGCTGATAGCGGGGCTATTATGAAGCTTAAATGAGATTGCTATGAGGTAGTATAAAGTAGTGCTTAAACACTTGGACTCTGGAGTCAATTTACTGTGTGACCTTAAGCAAGTCACATATCTATGCTTAAGTCTTTCCTGTAAACATGAGAGTAACAGTAGCATTTACCTGGTAGTGTTGAGGTATGGATTTAATGAGATGTTCTCTACAAACCCCTCAGCACAGGTCCTGCCTGGCACATAGCAAGTCTTCAAGAAGCCTAGGGGCTTCCCTGGTGGCACAGTGGTTAAGAATCCACCTGCCAGTGCAGGGGACACGGGTTCGAGCCCTGGTCCAGGAAGATCCCACATGCCGTGGAGCAACTAAGCCCATGCGCCACAACTACTGAGCCTGCGCTCTAGAGCCCGTGCTCTGAAACAAGAGAAGCTACCCAATGAGAAGCCTGGGCACCAACAAAGAATAGCCCCTGCTTGTGGCAACTAGCGAAAAGCCTGCGGGCAGCAACAAAGACCCAACGCAGCCAAAAAAAAAAAAAGGCTGGTGGCAGCCTGCATAATGATGGGGTGTGGGGGAGGAGTTACACAGAAAAAAAACTTGGTGAAAAAATAGAGATAAAGCAAATACAGGAAAATGTTAATGCTACTGTTGATCATTGTACTGTTTTTTTCAAATTTTCTGTATGGTTGAAAAAATAAAGTTTTGGCAGAATAAACTCAGTCATGTTCTACTGCATTTAGAATAAATCTAAATGTATTACAAATGGCACAAATAAAAAGCAAACTCAAAACATACTTAGAGAAATTTCCTTGCACTTCTTGTGCACCCAAGTACTCTCCAGAGACAGGAGCGCCTTACGAACGCTTCTCTCCTGATATGTTGATATGCTAAGCTCTCCAGGAACTTTCTCCTCCTTGGCTCAAGGAGGGGGAAGTGGTGATCCCCGAGCTGTTTGAGGAAAAGCTGTTCTGTGATGGTGAAAAGGAGGAGGAAAATCATATCACCTGTTCCGAGTGCCAAAATATCTGGAGCTCTCAGCCTGGCTATTAGGGGATGGGGTACCTCTGCAAAAGTGATTTTGGGGGGAGTTGTCTTCACCAGCATTTACTCAGCTAAGATTGATATGGGGGATTTGGTTCCAGAATCATCCAGACCAGGAATCATGTAATCATGCTATTCCAGCTCCTGTTGCCACAGACAATCTACTGTACATTTTTATGCACAATGCCCATATTTTTCTACTCCAGTGTGGAACTCATTGATGGAAAATGGGCCTGTTTTGGATCTTGCCATGTGTAGAGATCTCCCCAAAACTCAGCTAAGAGCTTCCCCACTCCTTTTGCAGACTGGGAAGCCATTAAGGATAGGGATGGGGAATGGACTGACTAGTGGCTAAGGCTACTCAGGAACCGGAGGAAGTAAGAGACAAAGCCAGCAAGAGGCTGTGGGAGGCTGCAGGTGCAGCTGAAAAGGCACTTCAAAACAGCAACATTAATTTATCCACACCAAGCACCAGTCGCATTACAAAAACAATCTCATCTTCACAGCAACTCCTCTGAAGTTAGTGTTATGTTTTTCCAAAAGAACTGGGGTTCAGTTATCTGGTGGAGCCTGGGTTCCGACCCTAAAGCCAGAGCTTCTTCCTCACCATCAGCGACACCACACCAACTCTAGCTGGCTGACCTCACTGGTTCCTGCATCTATAGATGCCTCAGAGAGTCTCTAAGTCTATTCTAACTATATCATTGGATTGCTTTCCATCTCTGTCAGGGGGATCTTGTTTATTAATCCAGATAATAAGTGCAAATAAAAGAGGATCTTTCACTACTCCTATGAGGTGTAAGGCACCAATTTAAGGTGCCCAATAGGGTGGTCACAAAGATTTCAATTTCAGATGATTGTTCAAACTGTATGGATATAAGAGTGGTCCTGAAAGAGACCCCTCACCCAAGGATCTAGAGATGCCCCTTCCTGGGAGAGGCTTCCGGCTTGGGAAGAGGAGCGAAGACTCCGGCTGAGTCAACAAGGCCGGTTGTACAGAGAGTGACCAAATGCCTCGAGCGGTAGCTGAGGCTTCCGGGGAAGAGACCGGTTTTAGGGGATTTGGGGCTGTCCACTGTGGACATGTGTGACCCTCTCTTTTAAAGGCTGTGCTCAGGTGCTGCTGCCTGAGAAAGTGCGGGGTAGGGGTAGGGGTACGGAGCGGGGCTCTAGGCATCAGACCAAGTGGATGTCAAAACCAGGAGGGCTCCCTAGCCTTGGGTGTGGGGACTTCCGTAATCTGGGGCTGTTCTGGGGAGTCCCTGCTGGACTCCTACAATACATCCTCAGCAAATCCTACATGGCGGGGCAAATGCCGGGGTCTGACTTTGGCAGTTGACACTCCAAGTTTGTTTCGTGCCTTGTGGCTGGCGTGGGAAGAAAATGAAATAAGAATCGTTAACTTTTCCATATTCCCGCTGTCCGTACGCGGAAAGGCGGTACCCAGCGTTAGGGACCAGTAGGGGTTGTCCTCCCCTCCTATGGCGTGGTCGAGAGGCCGCAGCGCCAACGCTAGCCAAAAGAGCGCTCGCGGGCCCGGGCCCCGCGCTCGCGGCTCCCGGGGGAAGCCGCGTTGCCAGGTTGGGTTTTAACGCCTCCGCCCGCGCACAGATTGTCCGGGGCTGAAGGCGCCACCACTGGCGCTCAGGCGCGAGCCGCCCCTCCCGCGCGGCGGTCCTCCTACTCCACCCCGCCTTCCCTCCTCACCTTCACAGTCGCCCCTTAACCCCACCCCGGCCACGCGCCTCCCCGACTTCCGGCCGGCTTCAGAGCCTCGGGAGCGCTGGGTGTCGGGTCGCCATCCCGGCCCGGCCGCCGCCTCCAAGCATTCGACGCGGGGCTCCAGGCCTGAAGCGGGCGGGGAGGCAGGATGCAGGCGTGCGGGGGCACCGCGGCGGGTCGCCGGGCCTTCGACAGCATTTGCCCCAATAGGATGCTGGATCTGCGAGGCCGGCCGTTCGGCAAGCCCGGGAAGCTGGAGAGGAAGGTGGGGCCGCAGGACGGAGCCGGGCAGGGTCCTCACGCTCCCGGCAGTGAGGGCTGACCCGCGCTCACCGTTTCTGTGCCCGGCTAGTTCGCCCCTGCGCGGAAGCTCTTTCTCGGTAGCAGCGGCAGCAGCCCGGTGTCGGTGTACGAGGATCCCCCAGACGCCGAGCTCGCTGCGCTGCCAGGTGATACCGGTGGTCCCTGCGCGACCCCTCGGGTTCCCCGCGCCAGGTGGGTGGGGCGCGCGGGCCTCAGAAGAGCTTTTCTCCCTGGGGTTTCGGAGTCCTGGCGGCGATGCCAGCGGCGAGCCCTTGCGGGGAGGCTTAGGGTCCGCCCGGCGCGTGTCTCCGGTTCTCCCTACGCAGCCCTCACCACCATAGACCTGCAGGACCTCGCTGACTGCTCCTCGTTACTCGGGTCCGACGCGCCGCCTAGTGGTAATTCGGCCGCCTCACAGGTACCTCTCCTGGTGGAAACTCGCGGCCTATCGAAACCCAAACTTCGATTCGGGAGTCAGTTCTCTGAGTTTCCTCAAAGAATCCTTTTGGGTGGGGAGCGCAGGCACATCTGGCTAGCGGGGGGAGATGTCCTGCAGAAATCCAAGCCTCGAGGATTAGAACTTCCTCCTCCCTCCTAGTATGTTAACGGTGGCCGCATTCTCAGAACTGTTGTGACCAACTCTGGACAGGGAAGCTCATCTGGAGGGCTCCCCTGCCAGACGGGTCTCCCATTCTCCTCCCCATCTATTCCTTGGAGCTGCGATAAAGCAACGTGGTGGTTGCGCACTGAGGGACGAGGTGGGTAAATGGGAGCAAAGTTGCTCTCTGGGCACCTATCTGTTCTCCCAACATGCCTTTCCCGGCCATTCATTAACCATTTTCATTCCCTGGATGTCTAAGGAGTGTGGAGATTGGAGAATAACTTCTCGATCAAGACTGGAAAAAACGAAGAGAATTTACATTTGGAGGAAGTGGGAAGAGTGACAAAGGACTCGAAGAAATCTGACTGAAAACGTTGCTCTCTACAGAGATGGACCTTCAGCAGTTGGGCACTTTATAAAAGTCCTTTTCGCCCCCTGCAAAGGCTGCTGCCACTTACTCCCATGGAGCAAAGAGGCATTTCCCCCCAAAACCTATCTTCTTACTTGCATCCCACTTCTACCACTTGCCAGGGCTGAGACTCCCCAGCCAGATGATGGCATCTCCCAGCACTGATGTCTGGGAGGTCAGAAGCCTGCCTCATCGATGGATATGAATGCATCCATCGATGCATATGAATGGATATGAATAGCTAGATGCAACCTCCAGGACGGGTGCCAGTTCCAGGTTCCTGGCAGCAGGTGCTTGGGATATGAGGTTTCACGGGAACAGACCAAGTACAGAACTCTCCAGAGGAAATGACCACCTCCTAGAACTGGGGTTGGGGTGGTGGAGCAAAGCTTCCCAGGGCCTCTCCAAGTGCCTCTTAGAATTGGGATAGAGCCTAGGGAGACTCAGGGTAGGTGGCAACTGAGAGCAGAGATTGTGAAGGCAACAGGTAAGAGTGAGAATTGCCCTGCAAAGGCCATTCTCCTGTTCTTTTAGGGTTTGGATGCTCAAATGAAAAAAGGCAATACATGAGCATCTTTCAACGGACCCAGAGGGCTACATCACGCCCTTACTCCAACATGTTTATTTTGCAAGAAAAAAGCCAAACCAAACCAAACCAAACAACAACAACAGAACCAAGCAGGCTCTTGCTGAATTTTTGCTTATGTATACAGAACTTAAATTTGACATCATGCTCTGCGTTAAGTTTTTTGGTTTTGTTTTGTTTTTGTTTTTTGGCTGCTGTTTGTGTTGGAGAAATGCCAGGTTTTTACCTAATTGGGAAGATAAGATTCACAGTTTCAAGGACAGAACTCATGCCCGATGGCCCAAGCAAGAGGTCCAGGGTTTTTCCCGCTGGAAGGCAGAACTGGTACAGAAGGAGATATATCCCTAGGGGAAGATTCTGTGGGGGAACCCCCTGGCCAGTGCACACTCTGGTTATATTTCTCTTTCCTGTTGGGGAAAGTGGACAGAGAGAGGAAGTGCTCTAGAAGTGTTTGAGGTCCAGAATGGGCCAAGACCTGGGATAGCACAGGAGGAAGCATTTCCTGGGTGGCTGTCCCTGAGAGTTGGCCTCTAGTCTCATGGTAAGGGCTTTTCTCTACTGAGAGGGAGACCTTTGAGCCCTTGGGAAATGTCTCATTTCTGACTCCTTCAACCAGGGAAGAACTTGTGCTTCAGGATTTGTCTGGGGCCCTCAGTCTTTCCTTTCTAAGCTCCCTTCCCCTTACAGACTCAGTTCTCAACTGGTGCTAGAGGTTTCCCTGGTTGAAGCTCTCCTCCCTGAAGGAAACTGATACTTGTACATCCTTTGAAGTTAGAGTCAGAATAAGTTCCTCTTCTCAGAAGTATTTGAATAGTAAAGAAGGGTGTTTGGGAGAAGAATATGATTAACCCAAAGGAATAAAAAAATTGATAATAGTGGAATCAGTAGAATAGATATTTCTGATGGGCACACTGGATGCACCCCTCACACCATGCTCCTTGAGAGGCTTCTTTCCCCTTCCCAGAACTGTCTTCATTGGAAGCCAGGCTTTCCTAAAAGAGAAATAAAAGCTAGAGGCAATGAGGTATAGAGGAAAGAGGACTGAAATAGGCACCAGCATTCTGGGGCAGAAGCTCCAGTTTCACTATTTCAGAGCTGGGTGGCTTTCTCTGAGCTTCAGCTTCTCCATCATGGGAGGAGTCACTTCCTGGGCCCTGCCTACTTCCTACATTGGTGTGAGAATGAACAGAGAGACTCGATGTAAAAGTCTGTGTCAACTCTGTCCACGAATTAAGGGAATAAGAAGTTTCCTGGTCACCAGCCTTTTGCAGTCTCCTTCCGTCTCACGCACCCAGGCACATTGCAGGAACCCAGGAGAGTGTCCAGTCCAAGATGCTGGAGATGCATCACGCCCTACGGGAAAAGTCAACTCCAACTTTTTGAGAAACAGAAGAGCAAGAGGGGCCACGCCTGCTGCGTGCTGAACAGAAGCACTTTCCATAGCATCCCTGGCCCATCTCTTAGCCTCCCTTTTTCTCTTTCTGTGTGGGGAGAGGTGGTTTAGTTGTGACTGAGCCTTGGCGGGATGTGTGGACTCGAGCCACTGCTTTGGATGCCTGCGCACGCTGGCGGGTCTTGGGAGGAAGGACGGTGTGTTCGTACGCCATGCTCCCAGCTCTTAGAGCTGTGGCTCCTTGGCCTGTGGGAGGTAAGTCGGAGCTGAAGGTCTAAGCGGGCGCACTAGCAACGCGCCTGGTTGGCTGGTGACTGGCCAATGAGGCGGCGCCGGACTGTGCCGGCTGCCAGAGGCCGGGCGCGGGGCGGCGGTGCTGCGCGCAGAAGGAGCGACGCGCGACGCAGCAGCGCGCATTTTCAGCGCCCGGCAGGACCCTCCCGACCGGGTCCCCGCTTCGTGCGTCCCTCTCCCCACCATGGCAGTGCAAGCCTGCTGGATTCCGTGTCTCGGGCAGGGCTTTGATTTTCAGGTACAAGTTTCCGCTGCGGGCGCGAGTGCATGCAGACCTGCCATCGAGCCCGGGAGGTTAACTGTCGGTCTAGGAAGTGTTCCAGACCCGCCAGACTCAACATTAACTAGTTTGTACCTCTGGTTTGTTTCAGAACCACTCCCTGCAAACGGCAGCGGACTTCGATCTGCAGGATTTCAGAGACACCGTGGATGATCTCATTGCAGGCAAGTGCAATCGCTTTGCAGTTCAGTAACGGCGGGGGTGTCCTCTACCCCTCAAATCTGACTAGTTCGGATTTCGTGGTCCTGAAAGTGGTAAACCCTGTACCTGTCAACGACTCGCCAGCAACTCATCAAAGTGTTTGGCTCATCCAAATTTAGCTCTCCCCCCCTTTTCCTAATGGAGAAGATGAGTCGCTGGATCTATAGCGCTTTCTCAGTTTGCCCGTGTGAGTTCTGGGAGAGAGAACCCTACGCTGTGACGTGGTCTGGAAGACGCTGAGTGACAGGAGTGTGCAGAGTAGTGCATTTGTGTGACTTCAGGCAAGTTTACCCTGGCCACCGTGGAAATCCAGTTCAGATCATCTCAACAGGCATTTATTGAGCGCCTGCTGTGTATGTACAGGATATCAGGTAGAGCCTGGGGATCGTAGGGATTGCAGAGTGAGGGGTGCTTTATTAATAAAGAAAAATCACGTAAACCCTATACCCGCGTGATATTTTGTCCCTGCAGTTAGCTGGGCACGAGTCTGAGGCTGCAAACCCAGCTCCCTCTCTTCCTCTTCATCAGACTCATCCTCTATGATGTCGCCTCCCCTGGCGGGCGGAGACTTCCCCTTCTCTCCTTGCGACGTACTGCCGTTTGGTCCCTGTCTCTCCCCACAAGCCTTGCAGTCACCGCCGCTGCGCCCTCCCGACGTGCCCCCACCAGAGCAGTACTGGAAGGAGGTGGCCGACCAGAACCAGAGGGCGTTGGGGGACGCACTCGTGGAGAATAACCAAGTAGGGACACTGGGCTGGCGTCCAGGAGTCCTTGGGGCGGGGGCAGGGTATAGGGCTCCGGGAGGAAGTGGGGTTGCAGGAGCGGGAATGAGCCCCCTTGGACGTTAGAACCAGTGGACGAGTTTACGTAGCTGCTGTTGCTCCACTGGCTCTACCTCAGTTTACAACGTCACTAAATGGGAATAATCTTACCCACCAGATTTTTTTTTTTTTTTTTTTTTTTTTTTTGCGGTACGCGGACCTCTCACTGTTGTGGACCTCTTACCTCTCACTGTTGTGGCGTCTCCCGTTGCGGAGCACAGGCTCCGGACGCGCAGGCTCAGCGGCCATGGCTCACGGGCCCAGCCGCTCCGCGGCATGTGGGATCTTCCTGGACCGGGGCACGAACCCGTGTCCCCTGCATCGGCAGGAGGACTCTCAACCACTGCGCCACCAGAGAAGCCCCATCCACCAGATTTTTTTTTTCATCCACCAGATTTTTAATAGGGCCACCAATACTTATTGAAGGCTTTCTATATGCCTGGTATTGTGCTTACCAGTTTACTTTCCTCATTAATTACTCACAACCATTGAGCTAGATACTTTTACCAGCCCTATTTTACAGATAAGGAAACTGAGTTATAGGAAGGTTGAACTTCTATATCTGCCTGTTGCCCAAGTCAGCACTCCTCACCGCTACACTGAGGATTAACTGAGAAACATTTTGTCTAAGTGCTCTGTAAAAATAAATAAATAAATAAATAAATAAATAAATAAATAAATAAATAAAATTATTCTCACCAGTGTAAACGTCCTTGGGGCCCCAGTTTCTAATTAGACGTTAGGATCTGCGTTCAATTTATGCAGAGTTTACAGACGAGACCGAGCACGGTAGACTATCCCTGAATGTTTGGGTCTCCTCCTGCAGCTGCACGTGACGTTGACCCAGAAACAGGAGGAGATCGCCTCACTGAAGGAGCGGAACGTGCAACTGAAGGAACTCGCCAGTCGGACACGGCACTTGGCCTCGGTGCTGGATGTAAGTGGGGCGCGCGCGTGTAGAACACTGCAGAAACTCGGAAATGTTCTGTGCACCTCCCACCCAGCTCCCGGTGTTGGGAGCCGGCGGGGGTCGGGGAACGGAGGGGACCGCTGGGAGCTCGCTGAGTCACTTGCAGGCGTTGCCTAAGTCGGCCGAGTCGCGCAGTTCTAAGTGCGCCCAGGTCTCCTTTGAGCGCCCAGCACGAGGCGAGTCCGGCTGGCCCCAGGGCGGCGCTCCTCCCCATCTTTTTGTAGAAGCTGATGATCACACAGTCCCGGGATTTCGGGGCGGCAGCTGAGCCCATCCCACTAAAGGCGACTTCCAAAAGGAGCCTGGAGGAGTTGTTGAGCGCGGGGCAGGATTGCGCGGAAGTGGACGCCATCCTGAGGGAGATTTCCGAGCGCTGCGATGAAGCGCTGCAGAGCCGCGATCCCAAGCGGCTCCGGCTGCAGCCCGAGCTCCCGAGCACGGACGGCAGGCCTGGGAACCTGCACGGCGCCTTCCGGGGGCTGCGCACAGACTGCAGCCGGAGTGCGCTGAACCTGAGCCACAGTGAGCTGGAGGAGGGCGGCTCCTTCAGCACCTCCATCCGCAGCCACAGCACCATCCGTACCCTCGCTTTCCCCCAGGGAAATGCTTTCACCATCCGGACAGCCAACGGGGGTTACAAATTCCGCTGGGTCCCCAGTTGAGCTGAGATGTGGTCCTCCGAAACACTGCCCTTTATCCTAACTGAAGCGCCTGGAGGCTAAACGGGAGTAGCTGAAACCTGGTTTCTCAGAAGAACTCCACTTGCAGAGCCGACGCCAGCCTGAAACTTTTTTTTCAGGAACAAAAACGTTTTGATACTGATGCACTGTAAAATTCTGGTACAAAATACTGTGTAGTCCCTTCCCTTTTCACAGCGAAACCGTGTGTGTATGTGTGTGTGTGTGTGTGTGTGTGTGCGTGCATATGTATGTGTATACATACGCTTATATATCACAGTCAATTTTTAAAGTATTTATTTTTAGCAGCTTTGAATTACGTACTTTTTAGAGCTGGAAGGGACCTAAAAACCACTTAGGTATTTTATAATTGTAATAATGCCCTATTTTCATACGAAGCAAAAGGGGGCTCTAAGAAGTTAAGCAATTTTCTACAAAAAGAAGCGTCATGGGCACCTTCCGAGTGCTCTCGCTAGTCTTTTAAAGATTGTAGGTCCAGAGGCCAGGTCTCTGGGTGAACGTTTCAATACGTCACTCACTTCCCCTGATCACTTAATTTTGTTACTATTGGAATCTTTCATTTTAGCTGCCAGAATAAAAAATTAGGAGAGGTTAGGGTTAGGAATTCCTAAACCCTTGTCTTAGGGCAGGCAAAAAAACAGAGGAAAGTGAAGATTCTCAGAGTCGACGGGTTATTGACAAAATAGGTGCTAAACACGTTTGTTTGTAATGATCATTTACATAATTTTGTAAGATTTATGATAAATGTTTATATTAATTATATATAGTTTTATTTGTCTAGACAGAATAACCACAAGAAAAGCAAACTTAGTAAGAAACACATTGTTTTAAGAAAATGGTACATCCCACATGAAAAAGAATGTGCATATTTTAGGGTGTTCATATTTTTGGGGCGCAGAAACCAAGTGTGGAAACCTTGGTAAAAGTAAAACTATCTATTTGAATTCCATGGATAAAACTGGGGTACACATTCATGTTTTATATTTCTTGGCTTCATCTTCTAAGAAAAACTTAGGTGTTATATGGTGCCTTCTCTTTGCCTTTTCTTTATCCCCTTTTGCGTAGGCTTCCTTTTTCTACTCTGTTGTGAAGGTTTGTTAGTAGAGTATGTCAAGTCGTGATTTGTCCTAACCTCCACAGTTCTCAACAGGAGGGCTGCTTCTTGCGTTTGGGGGCTCAGCATGGGCAAGTGTCCAACCCTGTTACACCACATTGCTGGTTCTGCCATCCGAATGTCATCTGAATGGAGAGATCAGGTTACAGGTGAGCTGGGCAGGCTGGTGGGACCTGCTTCCCCAGTTTGTCCTGTGTAACTGTTATCTGTATTTAAATGGCCATTTTGAAAACAAACAAGAAAGTGATAAAATAGAGCACATTTCCTTGTACTTTGTCTAACAAATGGACGCTTAAATGGGCCTCAGCAGCTGTGGCTCACGGGCTCCAGAGCACAGGCTCAGTAGTCATGGCACACGGGCTTAGTCACTTCACAGCATGTGGGATCCTCCCAGACCAGGGCTCAAACCCGTGTCCCCTGCATTGGCAGGTGGATTCCCAACCACTTTGCCACCAAGGAAGCCCCGAGAATTCTTTTCATCAGTGTGAATATAAAGTTACTACAGTTCAGCATCAGAAGAAACAGAAAATAAAAACAAAACCCCTTAACTTGTTTCAAGAAACAATCAGCTTGTGAAAAGTTCTTTTCCTCTCCACTCCTCAGTTAGTATCTTCATAATGCATTAGCTTCAATGACAGAAAACTTAAATTATCTATATGTATTTTTCTATTTGTCTTACGCCTGGAATTTAAAAAATGACAAGAGCTTTCAAGACTTCTGTGTGTGGTAGTAGGTGGTTTTATGGCCTTCCCCATGCTGAATGAGCCCACAAACCAGAGCTTCTTTGACCTGGTGTTTTCCTCACTTCTTTGGGAAGCTAACCACCCAATGACTGAGTGCTTATACTAGCAGTGAAGGGAGCTGTGCCCACTAATTTATGTCCTTACATTCCTTACATGATGCGAATTCTTTGTACTGCTTGTTGCTGATTTAGTAGGAAACCTCAGTGACAGCAACTTTAAACCAAATCTTAGCCGTTTTCTCCATGATTCTTTTAGCCTATATTCAGCTATGTGATCTAGTGTAGCTCAAGAAGACATGTTAGCCTGAAATTATCCCAATAATTCCTTCATTTCCAATAGGACCAGGCACTGTTCAAGGTGTCCAGGAGATAGTCATGAACAAAACGAAGTCCTTGCTGTCATGAAGTGTGCATTCTAGTGGGGGAGACAGATACTGAACAAACAGTATATAATGTCTGATAATTAACATGTTATATAGGAAATAAAGCAGGGTCTAGGGATAGTATGTGACAGGAATTATTATTTTAGATAACATGGTTGGAGTGTTTCTAAACAGTTTCTATAGCAGCAAAATCAGTTTAAAAAAAGAGGCACACACACTTTAACTGAATTATTTTTTAAGGAAATGACCTCATAATTGCAACACTTAGATGTTGTTCTAAAGTAGTGGTTCTTAAATTGTAGCATGTATCAGAATCATCTATAGGGCTTATTAAAACCCATCTTGCTGGGCCCCATCACCAGAGTTTCTGATTCAGTGAGTCTGGGTAAAGCCTGAGAATGTGAATTTCTAACAAGGTGCCAGGTGATGTTGATGCCTGGGTCTAGGGCCACCTTTGAGACCACTGTTGTAAAGAAATTTTTTAAAGATCACTTTAAAAAGGTTAAAACAAACAAAAACCAATTTACCTGATGTTATGCAAATAATTCTTGTGATTTAGGATTAAGTTTTTAATGATACAAACCATACTACATTCAAACAAGAGCTATATTTCAAAAAGTTGGAAGTGACAGTAATGTGCTTTGAAAAATGATGTTAGATGACCCAGAAGGTAGCTTCAATGATGAAATGAATACCTTCAATGAAGGACTTGATGTTGAAGATAAGTGTGAAGAGTCTGAATAATATTACTTATGAAATGTGTTAAAGAAGCTCAATTCAGTTGGCCCCTAATGTGGGCAGAGAGATCAGGACCTAGTCCTAATTCTTCTAATTAACTCAAAGGTCACTTAGAAGAATAATATTTAACAGTTGAAGAATTATGGTATCATTAATTTATAATATTAGCTAATGATATTTTTGTGTCTATGTTTAACCTAAAGGAGAACTAGGCAGTACAATGATATTTAAAGAATTTAAAATTATTTGGAGAAATGATATGACCAATAAGGGATTAATATCCAACATATATAAATAGCTCATACAACTCAACATCGAAAAAACAAACAACCCAATTAAAAAATGGGCAGAAGAATTGAATATACATTTTTCCAAAGAGGAAATGTAGATGGCCAACAGACACATGAAAAGATTCTCAGCATTGCTAATCAACAGAGAAATGCAAATCACAACCACAATGAGATATCACCTCACACCTCTCAGAATGGCTATCTTCAAAAAGAACAAAAATAACAAATTTGGCGAGGATGTGGAGAAAAGAGAATCCATGTACACTGTTGGTGGGAATGTAAATTGGTGCAGCCACTGTGGAAAGCAGTATGGAGGTTTCTCAAAAAACTAAAAATAGAACTACCATATGACCCAGCAATTCTGCTCCTGAGTATATACTTAAAAATCTCCAAAACACTAACTCAAAAAGATACATGCACCCCAATTTTCACAGCAGCATTATCTACAATTGCCAAGACATGGAAACAATTTAAATGTCCATCAACAGATGAATGGATATATACAATGGAATATTACTCAGCCATTAAAAACAATGAAATTTTGCCATTTGCAACAACATGGATGGACTTGGAGGGCATTATGCTAAGTGAAGTAAGTCAGACAGAGAAAGACAAACACTGCATGATATCACTTATATGTGGAATCTAAAAAATACAACAAACTAGTGAATACAACAAAAAAGAAGCAGACTCATAGGTATAGAGAACAAACTAGTAGTTACCAGCGGGGAGGGAGAAAGGGGGAATATAGGGGTGGGGGAGTGGGAGCTACAAATTATTGGGTGTAAGATAGGCTCAAGGATGTATTGTACAGCACAGGGAGTAAAGCCAATATTCTGTAATAATTGTAAGTGGAAAGTAAGTTTTAAAAATTATATAAAAATAAAAGAATTTTTTAAAAGACACTAAATTTTGATAATATTCAAATTCATAAAAATAGTTCATGCACAAGCCAAAATGTTCACTTAACAAAAGAAAATCATTATATCGATAGTTTGCAGTTTATACTGGTTGTCTCTAATTTTTTTATAAATAGGTCTTTATTGGAGTATAATTGCTTCACAATACTGTGTTAGTTTCTGTTGTACACCAAAGTGAATCAGCCATATGCATACATATGTCCCCATATCCTCTCCCTCTTGAGCCTCCCTTCCATCCTCCCTATCCCATCCCTTTAGGTCATGGCAAAGCACCATGCTTATCTCCCTGTTCTATGCTGCTGCTTCCCACTAGCTAACTATTTTACATTCAGTAGTGTATATATGTCGATGCTACTCTCACTTTGCCCCAGCGTCCTCCTCCCACCCCATGTCCTCAAGTCCATTCTCTATGTCTGTGTCTTTATTCCTGCCCTGTCACTAGGTTCATCAGTACCACTTTTTTTTTCTAGATTCCATGTATATGCGTTAGAATATGGTATTTGTTTTTCTCTTTCTGACTTACTCCACTCTGTATGACAGACTCTATATCCATCCACCTCACTACAAATAACTCAATTTCGTTTCTTTTTATGGCTGAGTAATACTCCATTGTATATATGTGCCACATCTTCTTTATCCATTCATCTGTTGATGGACATTTAGGTTGGTTCCGTGTCCTGGCTACTGTAAATAGTGCTGCAGTGAACATTGTGGTACATGTATCGTTTTGAATTATGGTTTTCTCAGGGTATATGCCCAGTAGTGGGATTGCTGGGTCATATGGTAGCTCTATTTTTAGTTTTGTAAGGAACCTCCATACTGTTTTCCATAGTGGTTGTATCAATTTACATTCCTACCAACAGGGCAGGAGGGTTCCCTTTTCACCACACCCTTTCCAGCATTTATTGTTTCTAGATTTTTTGATAATAGCCATTCTGACCAGTGTGAGGTGATACCTCATTGCAGTTTTGATTTGCATTTCTCTAATAATTAATGATGTCGAGCATCTTTTCATGTGCCTCTTGGCCATCGGTATGTCTTCCTTGGTGAAATGTCTATTTAGGTCTTCCACCCATTTTTTAATTCGATTGTTTTTTTTTTTTTTTGATATTGAGCTCCATGAGCTGTTTGTATATTTTGGAGATTAATCCTTTGTTGTTTCATTTACAAATATTTTCTCCTATTCTGAGGGTTGTCTTTTGGTCTTGTTTATGGTTACCTTTGCTGTGCAAAAGCTTTTAAGTTTAATTAAGTCCCATTTGTTTATTTTTGTTTTTATTTCCATTACTCTAGGAGATGGGTCAAAAAAGATCTTGCTGTGGATTATGTCAAAGAGTGTTTTTCCTATGTTTTCCTCTAAGAGTTTTATAATGTCTGGTCTTACATTTAGGTCTTTAATCCATTTGGAGTTTATTTTTGTGTATGGTGTTAGGGAGTGTTCTAATTTCATTCTTTTACATGAAGCTGTCCACTTTCCCCAACACCACTTATTGAAGAGGCTGTCTGTTCTCCATTGTATGTTCTTGCCTCTTTTGTCATGAATTAGGTGACCATATGTGCGTGGGTTTATCTCTGGGCATTCTATCCTGTACCATTGATTTACACTTCTGTTTTTGTGCCAGTACCATACTGTCTTGATTACTGTAGCTTTGTGGTATAGTTTGAAGTTAGGGAGCCTGATTCTTCCAACTCCGTTTTTCTTTCTCAAGATTGCTTTGGCTATTTGGGGTCTTTTGTGTTTCCATACGAATTGTAAAATTTTTTGTTCTAATTTTGTGAAGAATGCCATTGGTAGTTTTATAGGGATTGCATTGAATCTGTAGATTGCTTTGGGTAGTATAGTCATTTTCACAATGTTGATTCTTCCAATCCAAGGACATGGTATATTTCTCCATCTGTTTATGTCATCTTTGATTTCTTTCATCAGTGTTTTATAGTTTTCTGAGTACAAGTCTTTTGCCTTCTTAGGCAGGTTTATTCCTAGGTATTTTATTCTTTTTGTTGCAATGGTAAATGGCATTGTTTCCTTAATTTCTCTTTCTAATTTTTTGTTGTTGGTGTATTGGAATGCCAGAGATTTCTGTGCATTATTTTTGTCTCTGGCAACCTTACCAAATTCATTGATTAGCTCTAGTAGTTTTCTGGTAGCATCTTTAGGATTTTCTATGTATAGTACCGTGTCATCCACAAACAGTGACCGTTTTATTTCTTTTCCAATTTGTATTCCTTTTATTCTTTTTCTTCTCTGATTGCCATGGCTAGGACTTCCAAGACTATGCTGAATAAGAGTGGCGAGAGTGGACATCCCTGTCT